CCATGGCGCCTGCCCGGCCTGCCGCATCCCTGACTGCGGCATCCCAGACCCGTGCTCCTGCCATCCCTGACCAGCGTCCACGGTATCCCCGGCCCATGCCCGCAGCAGCCTCGGGCACCCGCCGCAGCTCTCACCGCTGCTCAGCCTGCCGGCCAGGCCCTTCCCTGCGCAGAGCCCTGGGAAACGCAGTCTCCGAGCTGGCCTGGAGGGAGGGATGGGAACTACGGCTCCCAGCAGCGGCCGGTCCCCGATGGGAACGGGCACCTCTGCTGCTCCTGCCACAGGGCTTCCGCTTTATCCAGGAGTTTCCGGAAGCTGGGAAGGAAGGAGGTGGCTCAACAACTGTGAAATGCAGCTGGAAATCTACAGTGCCACTTCACAGGCTCTGAGGGCTGCGGTGCAGCTAGGGAAGCCAAGATGTGGATTAGCAGCCGAGGCAGACGGGAACACAGCCTCCAGCTCATGCCAGCTGCCCCAGAAACCACTTTATATGCATGGTTTTCCCCAACAGGCTGCAGGCAGCTTCTGATGCCTGAAGGCAGCACAAGGGTTTGGGGCTTGGGCTTTCCCTGCCACCTGAAACGCCCCACCAGAGGCGGCCAATGAGGCTGCGAGGGCCAAACCCGGCTTCGGCACAAGTCATCAGCCAGCCCCCCGCCCAGCTACCACTGCTGGCCTCAGCTTGAGGTCATGCCAGCCATGTCTCCTGGTTTGACTGATAAAAAGAGAGCAATTGCATGCTGTGACTCATTCTCAAGACATGCAGAAACCAGTTCAAGCACCCAGTTACAAGATGTTAGCAACAAGCACGGTACTGGAGCGCTTATAGCTCAAACAGTGCTGTTTAAGCTCACCTTTCAGAGCACAGCACCCTTGGGCTGCCACTGAAGGGTGGCAGCCACCAGCTTTAACTCAAAGCTTAGCAGGAGAAAAAAAAGCAAATGGATCCAGAAACCTCAAGGACAGGCTGGAATACTGCATCTGGCAATACTGTTTTTTGCATGTTGTCGCTGTTAAAGCTATTCCTGGTAAGCCATGCAGGACAATTTTCTAGCTGAGAGCTAGAAGCAGTGGCCACCACTCCAAGGGGGCAAGATACAGCAGATTTAACCACAACAGTCTCTGGAGCAAGGTGCAAATGCACTGCTCAAAACAACTAACAGATAACATGAGAAGTTCAGATGGGAGGGGGAGGGGGAGGGGGAGGGGGATTTCTCAGACTAAGTAAAGCTGGATACACAGGAAAGAGCTAGCCAGCCCCACTCCAAGGTGGGAGTCCAACCTTGGGTCTAACCGTGTTCATTTGTACTTATCTCCAGAAAATTCCCAGGGAAATGCCTGGAGCCTTGAAACAGCTCTTTGAGATCTTTTATCCTTGGGACCTATTTACCAGGGGCTTTCACCTTGCACTCTGCCCATCTATGTGGGAATATAGGATCCTTGTGAAGCGTTTACAAGAACGTTACCATTACCTCTTGTCAAAAGGAGTCCTGACCAGGACACAGGACCGTTTAACAGAGCTGAATTCCAGCAAGATGAACCATGTTGTGCCTTTTAGGGAAGAGCTAATTAGCAGAGAGCTGGAAAAATATATATACTATTGACCAAATACCAATATAGCAAAGTACTGAATTTGCTGTTCTATCATCAAGATCTAATCTAAAAAAAAGGGGGGGGGGAGAAACAAACTTAAGAAATAGCTTTTACAACTGTAAGCTTGTAGTACCAAATGCTGTATCGTTAAGTCTTTGGTATTGGCAGTGATTAGCTCTGCTGGCTCATGAGCAGTAATAATACTGCGTAACATGCCACAGGCAGCTTTGCTCTCTATCAGTTCTGTTTTTTCTGCGGCTGTGAGCAGCACTACAGAGGCAAGAATAACTGCTGCACTGTGCTAACTGCCCTAGAGACCTTTGCCAAGCCAAGCCAGAAAGGTCACACTAGCAATAAGCCAAATAAAACCCAACTAATTTAATGGTGAATGCTGCAGGAATTTTCATAAAGCTTGGCAGGAAAGATGAAACCTTCCATTTCCTTACACAAAGGATTGAGAGCAGCAGCTCAAGAAGCTATTTCTCTGCAAAAGCCATCTTTCCAACACTGTGTTCTACACTTCCTCTAATGCTTTAAAGCGGATCCGCTGAAGGCAAATACATGAGACCCAAAAGGAAAAAAAAAGACATGTTTTATCTGAAAACACATTTTTGTGATTTATTAAATCTGTACATACATTTAGCTAGTACTGTTTTCATTAACACATTTTAACCTTTCCTTGCTTGTTCTCCATAGACCCTCCCCAGGTCAGCAATCCGCTCTACTGAATAAATGGAAGGCAAAGCCATTTGCCTCACTGGTATCCTGAACAGCAGCGGTTCCATTCAACCTGGGAGACTCAGCAGCCAAAAGGCAAGTTTGATTTTTTTTTTTAATTTAAAATTAAGCATTTCTGTTCAGCTACTGTGCATGGAGCTGAACATCCTGTTTAAAGATTGTTAGTCCTAGAAAACTCCTCTCTGAAAGTGTGATCCAAAGTTAGAGACTTAACAGGTACCAAAGCTATAAGAGAACAAGCTTCTTGTATGTTGCCTCAGAACTGCAGGATTTTGGCTTATGCTGAAGCTCTTTACCAATTTAAACTCAAAGTTGCTCTTCATCTCTTGTGGAAAAATGTTTTATTTTGTTACTGGACAAAGCTATTGGTGCTGAAAAACAGCAGTGATTGTTTAGTCTATGATTTCACTAGGCATCAGGAGGTTCTGTTAAAAACTACACTTTAAATCTGTTAATCTAGACAGCATTGTGCAAGTCCCAAGTCAATATAAAAACAATGTTTTTAAGGAGATCAGAGAAAGCTCCTTGGAAATGCATGGGTGGGGAAAAAGATCTGGACACTTCACTTTGGATTGTTGTTTTCTTGAAGATTGCCAAAACAAAAAACAAACAAAAAACCAAAAAACACACACACACAGAAAAACTTCCCAGAACAATCTGAAGATCCAGAGACCTTGGCCATACTTCTGCCCTCAAATATTGGCTTCATCATTACAAGTCAAATTTGCAGTTTCTTCCACTGAATGTGTTTTTTCCACATCAAATCACAATAACTAGCATTTGTAAAGTGCTTTGAGATAGTGCTTTGGAAATATTAACAGTTAAAAGAAGGGCAGAACATCCATTAACAGCTCCTGGCTGATTATATTACTACTCATCTTTTCTCACAGTAGCATCAGCGTCTTCTCCTTTCAACTCCTATTAACACAAAGAGGAAGGTGTCAGTGTTGGAGATGGCAAATGTCAGGCAGGGGGAGAGCCTGCAGGGCAGTGAAGAAAGGATGTACTGGAACACATGAAGATGCCTTCCAGAAAGAAACTGAAGCAGAGCTCCAGAAAAAAAGATGGACACTTAGTTCCCAGCCACATCAGGAGAGTAGCATCTCACGCAGACACCACATGCACAAAATTCTGCATAAGGCTTTATGCCGCTCAAGTATTTGCTAAACAAGGAGAGGAGCTGGTGCTAGTCTTATAAAAAAAGATTATAAAAAAAGACATGTTGATGCTTTTTGAGGGGGGATGAAAAGGACATAATGCTCATTAGAAGCTATTGCCTGAGGGCTGTTAACTACTTAGTAGTAAAAACCTGCTACCTTTTTAGATAACAGTAACGTCTCTAGTTAGCAGCTTCACAAAAGCAATTCTTGTATGAATCCATAAAGCTTTCCCAGATGTTTAAAAGGTTTTTCCACCATAATTGCACTTCAAAAACAAATAGCCACCAATCCATATGCACTCCCCCAATCACTTCCCTCAATTTACAGAAGTAGAAAGAAAAGCTACAATTATTCACTGTCCTACAGCTATCAGGATTTGAAAGGTTTGATTTAGGTAACTGAAGAAAGGATGCAAACATCCAGTTTTCAGACCAGGACAATTGTGCATTTTTAAAAAAAGAGCTGGCTTCACAGCTTGGCTTGCATCGGCTTCAGGTGTTTGTGGAAAGACTCATGAACCTGTAAGAGGACAAAACAGTGATTATATCAATATAAGGCCCGAGTTTTAAAAATATTTAGTTATTTACATCTTGCAGTGTTTTTATACTAAGAAAACCTCAAACATTCGCTTTTGGGATAAAAGGACAGCAGCCAAACACTGAGTGTCTGCACAACATGGACAGGATGGAGAAAATAAGCCCAGAACAAGTAGTCTCCCCACTACCACTTGTAAGAAAAAAAAGCTGTAAGACATTTCATATCTATATGGAGTTTTAATTAACAGAAAACTGGTAGAGGTCTCCCAAGAGGATTGCAATGAACCACGTAAGCCCCACAGACTTGGGAAGCATGAGAAATTGAGCAAGCTCTGGTGGGATTTGATTGCAGTTGATGTACAGTCTCTAGTAGCCTATGGTAGGAGATGCAGTCAGTCCAAATCAAAGAAAAGCAGTAAAGGTTACAGTGACAGGATTTAGAGTTCTGTTTCGGCTAACAAAAGAGGGACACACCAAACTCCTCTCAGCTCAGTTTCTTCTTTTTTGGCTCCGCTGCAGCTAAAGTCTGAGGGCAGATA